TTATGGCTTACATATGATTATAGAAACACATTTAAGAAAAAACTTATTACAACACTTTTGTGACTGCATTGAAATATTGTAACACTTTTATTCTAATAGTTGGTGTAGCCTCCTTGGTTTTAATTATAATCTGGATTCTATCTGGAGTACTTATGATAAAGCTGTTTACGTTGTCTCAAATCTATTTGCTTTGCTCCCACAGTTCTTTCATAAATTTTCTACTCAGTCAAATTTCATAAACAAAACTGAACGTGTTCAGTATTAGTTACATCAGGAGACTGAGGGGAGCAATCTAAGGGACTAATTGAATGATTATCAAACTAATTCATTGATTTTTTTGCTTTATGCTTCAGATTGTTGTCTTGTTGAAAAACTATTTTTTTTTTTGTAATTAAAACTTATACTGGGCAATAGAGACAACTATAAAATTGTTAAATAGCCCTCAGTTGGGCAATAGAGACAACTATAAAATTGTTAAATAGCCCTCAGTTGGGCAATAGAGACAACTATAAAATTGTTAAATAGCCCACAGTGTTCATTTTCCGGTCTATTTAGGCAATTTTGGTCCATTATGTATTCCCAGTTCATAAGATTGCCACCACCAAATTTTGGATTCGGTTGAATTTCCCTGTCGGTGATGAGTGCTCCTGTCGTCCATCTGACTCAATGCAATTTATTTTTATTTCATCTAACAACATGAATCAACCCAGATCATCAACAGTCCGATTTTTATATTTTTGACAAAATTGAAACCATTCTTTTTCTTGTCTTTTGGATAGAAGTGGTTTTTTGACCTTTACCCTTGTCACCGACCTCTGACTATTTAAAGATCTTTGAATGGTTTTAGCACTGACATCAATTCCCATGTGCATTTAGAGTCTTTATTGGCCCCATCCTCAGTTATGGAACCAATAATTTCTTGTTTCTTTCCCGAATTTTTTCGGAATATGGAAAGGGTTGACCTCTAACATTTTTTGAGTAATGTAGAACTTCAGTCTTCACATACCGACTTATAGTAGAAACAATCACACTGACTCCAGTAATAATTTGCCCCATCGACTGGCTCCTTCCAACCAACAGGCTAATACTGCTTGTTATATTCACTTCATCTTGGAACGTAACATTCAAATCGTCTTTTTATGTTTCATTCTGTGTGGCAGTAATGTTTTAATCAATAACTTAAAACTATTACTCTTTTATAAGTATTTCATGTTAATGTATATTGGTCACAAAACTGTTCCAATGAACAAACTGACAAATCCTCAAAATTTCATCATAGAATTAAATTTCTTAATCCCTGCTAAATTATTATTGACATGCAGTAATTGATATAATTGTAGTTTTATATTTTTCTACAATATAAACAATATTCTACTGTACCTAAATTTCTTTGTGTTTTCAAACGCATTCAATTCTGTATCTACATCACCAAAATCATCGCTATTCTGCACAGAAAAATAATTACCGCTTTTATTTTATTTAATGTTTCTGTCTTGCATATTCTCGTTTGATTTACTAATTTTTTTTTATATTTTCTGTTCAATTAGAATATTCTATAACTTCTGATGGTCAATGGAATCATAAGCCTTTTTGAAATTGATATAAAATTGATGAATAATAACGATTTATAATTTCTTCTTGTAATATTTGTCAAAAGGAAAATAAGTAATCAGTAGCTGAACGATTCCTTTTAAAACCACATTGGTAGTTCCAATAATTTCTTCGGTGTATTGTTTGATTCGGCTAGTTATGATTAATGTGAATATTTTATAAAATACTGGAAGGAATGAGATTCCTTGATAGTTAGCACAATTTTTTTCCAATACTTTTAGAATTTCATTTGAGTTATAAATTTACAAATAAAATAGTCCTCGAGGCTTAAATATATATGCTTGCTTATGCTGCAGTCTTCTTCAATTTTGAGGACTAAACCCACTAATACCATTAATGTTTATTGACGTTCAATTAGACTCTATGTATTGGCCTCTTCAAACATTCCAAGGTGTCTCTTAAAATATAGAACTAGAATTTTCTAGAGATCATGAAGTTACTGGTATGAACAAAAGGTAGAGGATGTAGATGAACCATAATAAGTAACAATAAATGTATTTTTTTTTTTTATTATTTTATAAATTTTAAAGAAAATAAATTAGCTGTTTAGAAGCAATGCAAATTGTTCACTGTAAACATAAATAAATAACTATGCATATTATAATAAACCAATTAACCAAAACAGTAACTAACGTTACTTGGGATATCAGCCAAATTAGTTGATCTAATGATTTAACATTTATATTACTGATATGATCATGATTTCTGCTAAGTTAAATAATTAATATCACTTGATTCCTTAATTCGGTATCTACAAAATTGAGGTAAGTGTTTTATTTCATTGCAGGTTTTGCAAAAGTGGTAATATAAAACTTATCTGATATAAATGAATGAATAATGTCAAAAGTGTTAATGGAGGTAAGGATGTTAAGGCATGATAGCTTGATTTATTTTTTGTTGTATTAATTTTTTTCAGTTGTTCCTGCATTCTGTATCTTATGTTGAGCTTTTAATTAATTTTGCTTTTTTTTATGTTTGTTAACATCACGTAATCCTGTTTGTTATATGTTTGATATGAATTCAATATTGTATGATTTAAACAAACTGTATCTATTCTTCTTTATTAGATTTATGATGTATTATTAAAGTTTATTAGAAGTATCAATGCTTGAATTTTAATAAGCAAGAAACTCAAAAATTATCATTTAAAATTTTTATGATGAAAAATTATTTCTAATTCTAATTTTTCATTAATTAATTCTTAGTTCGAGTGTTTCTTATAGAATTTATACTTGCTCAATTTAAATGGTTGAATATTTGGAATTAGTCAATGTGAATTATAACTGAAATAAACTAGTAAAATATATATCGCAAAAATGAATAGGGATATTGTTAGTTATGTATGATTTATATTTTATTATAAAATTCATTGAAAATTAATACAAATAAGATTGTATTTGACCTCAAGAAATTTTATTAAAGATGTTTTAAAAAAAATAATAAAATAAAAAATTTTTATGATTGTGAATTGTAAGAATTTTGTAAAATTTAATAATTTGTGTAATGTCTTCTGTTATGCATTACCTCTCTGTATCTATTGAGTATACCTTTTATAGGTCTCGTATTGTCGTCAATCAAATGAAATTCAGCACCAATTTATGTCCCAGGTTTGAGGAATGTACTCCTCTATAATTTCTTAAACATAACCAACTGCAGTGATATTACCTTCCACAATGTGGAGTAGAGTTCGTAATCCTGAGTAAATCCCTGGCCACACCATCACACTTCTACCTGTAGACTGCATTGAAAAAAGCACAAACTGTTCTCGGAAGACTCTTTGCCGCCTATGACCGCCATAAATACAGATATGCGGCTAGTCTGTGAACATAGCAACATTCCAATTTGTATCCTTATCTAGGCACTTGCTACTCCTTAATCTGTGGAGTCGCAGGTGATCAATGGTTGCTGCTGATTGCAGGCCATCTTAAAGGGCATAAGGTGTTAGACCAACTTCTCACAAAGTATTACAAATGGTTTGAGTTAATATGGACCTTGGCAGAACATTATAAACTTCATTTAGGCTCTGTTGGACACCATGAAAAGAGTTGTTTCTTGCAGTAATAACATTTTTGTCATCCCTTGGTGTTGTAATGCACTGAGATCCACTAACATGTCTCCTATTGGTATTTCTGGTCTTACTTAATCAGGCTTAAGTCCAAGAGTCCACAATCTGGGAGACACTACAAACTGCATCGCCAATATCCACTTGTGCCCTTCATCACTTATTCCCAAAATATTATTGTGAACTTCTGTTTCAATGTGAAGTTTTTCTTTCATTAAACAAAATATTGCTGGATTAAACTTGAGTAAAGTAAAAAAAACTGTTAGTTTGTACAATAAGTGTTCTACATTTTGGCTATCCTTTAGTTAATAATGTATTAAATATAAAGAATACTTGATATTAACTTTTTACCCAACAAGTAAGGGAATCCCTATTGAACAAAAAAATTTGTTATATTTATTAAAACGAATCATATAGAAATATCCCTATTCATTTTTGTGCTGTACATATATATTTGGAATCATTAATTATGAATTATAACTGAAATAAACTAGTTTTATATATATATATATATATATATATATTAATTTTTATTTTTATTTGTCTCAACTAAATGATTTATCATCTCCGTAAACCATTTTTTTGTCACTTAACATTCGATTGTTAAGTCTTTATCAACAACATTTTTAGTTAATTCATCTTCTTAACATAAAAATCTCTTAAAAAGAGAATGTGAAAAAATGGGAAAGGATTTTGTTATAGAGGCACATTTATCACATTACCTACCGCAACCATGGCGAGGATGTATGTGTACTTGGGATATTTGACTTGGCTCATGCTTATTTTCCTCTATTCATGGCTGCTCTAGTCCACTATTAGTTTTTGGCCATAAATTAGTGTTGTTTGGAAAATCAACAGATATATATGGTCTTTTCTATTTTTGTTTAATATTTTAAATTATTTCTTTATTACACATGTCTAAAATAAGAGTAGTTAAAACTAAGATATTTTTGAAAAGCAACATGCTTAAACCCAACCTGTCTGAAAGATTTATTTTTACCTCTTCCGTTGTCTAATTATCGGATAACTAGAAAGCAGAGTCAAGTAAACTGTCAGTTATCTTATTGATTCCAATTAGTTGAAATTCATTTTTTGTTGATCAAAAATAAAATGTACTCTTCCTCATTACTATCTCCTACTCTTTAGACACTATTGACATCAGTTAATAAGAAATATATTAAGATGATAATCAACCAAAATCAAAATCTTGAAATATAAAAAAAAATATAAATATAAGTTATTATTCTTCTGTGAATATTTTAAAAAATCTTATGACGATGAATCTATAAAATGTTGTTCAAACTTATTAATTTTGTTTTTCTTTCAGGACGTGACCCTCGTGAAAGATGGTGGCTCCCTTGGATTCAGTATTATTGGTGGGACTGATCACTCGTGTATCCCGTTCGGCGGTGACAAGCCTGGAATATTTATTTCGCATGTATGTATTTTTTCATTTTGTTATACATTCTTTGAAAGCCTTAGGACTTTCTTTGTGGTTATTTCAGATGAAATGTCAAGTTTTTTGTATATGAGTTCAACTGGCCGTTCTTGGCTTATGGGGTAGTTATATTAGAGATAACCAATCTATTCTAACCACAGTGGGAAGGCTGAGATTCAATCTTTGGGTCTGCTACAAAATAAATTATATTTTATTACCCTTATATTATATTTATTCAATATCGCTACTGTTAGTGAAAAAGGTTGTACGTAACAATTTTACATGTTTATTCTCATAGTTCTAAAGGTGAACTTTTAGTTTAAAATCTTATCTAATTGCAGTTTTAACTAATTTATACTGTATTGAATCACGTTTTATTGATATCACATATAAAATATACACCTAGAACAAAGTCCCTTAAGAATAAAATTAAAATATCACTCATTAACATAAATAAAAAATAAGTAAAAATACAGTGTAAAGGAAAAGAAAATTTATTCATTAATGAAAGCAACAAAACTACATTAAAAAATAAATAAATGAAAATGATAATACGTATAAGTTAGAAATTAAAATATGTTATTTTTATCTTATTTAGTATTTGTCTTAAAGATATGTATTAAAATTCTTGACTTACAAATTTAAAGTTTTGTCCAGAAATTTAATTTAGTTCAGAAAAAAAAATTCAATAATATTTTTGAATTATTAGAAATAACATAAAATGTCACCAGTACAACTCAACATTGAAATAAAAATTTTATCTGGAGGAAGAAGATAAATGTTATCTTTCATCCTTTATTTAACTTATGAGACTATTCATTTTCTTAGAACCTCTACCTTCAACTAGATATTTAAAGAAATATTTTTAGAAGATTGAATCATGTAAAAGATAAAAGAATGGTATCAGGGAGGGGGTGAGGAGGGAGGAGGTTAAATATTAGATACTGATATTTAATTTTATGAGTGTGTGGCTATCTTAGATTAAAATAATATAGGTCAATATATCTAAGATGTATTACACCCAGTTACCAAAAAATGTATACAATATATTATCGGTTTATTGTAATAAGTCATTAAATGACATTTCATGACCTTACATAATTAAGAACTTTGAAGAATTTTCTCTTTATGAAATCAGAAAATAGTTACTCTATTTGATATATAAGATGATTTGTTTCATTTTCATTCACTTACATTGTTTTGTATAAATAAACAAAGTAGAAATTCACAATAATATATTTGAAAGTTAATCTGTATCAAAAATGCCCTTAGTTACTTTTTACAATAAACCGATGACATATATCTTTTTTTTTTTTTTTTGCACTTACATTTATTTATCCGCACCTGTCAATTATTATTGACAATCAGCAGATGTGCTGGCTTAATAATGAGAGAAAAATAAAATAAAATAAAAAAGGCTTGATAGGCATGAGGAATAGCAATACCCAGCGGTATCCCTTCCATGGCTTTTATTTACTAACATTATTTAAGCAGATCCCTCATCCAGACCCTTTTCAGTCGTCTTCTGGAGTTCTCGGGCATACTAGTTGTGGCCATTTCTTTTACCAGCTGGTTGGAGTACCCGTTTAACATGGTATGAAATCGTTTGTAGTACGTTCGTATGTGTTCATTGACTGTCGGAACGTGTAGGTCGGTGTGTAAAGTGTGATTGTTTACGTACCATGGTGCTTGAGTGATTAGTCGTAGTATCTTAGACTGAAAAGTTTGAAGTTTATTTATGTGAGTTGGTTTTGCAATTCCGTATATTTGTTGTCCGTAAGTCCAAAGAGGTTTTAAAAGATACGTGTAAATACTTAGTTTCTGTCTTGCTTTTAATTTGGAAGGTCGTCTTAACAGTGTATGTAACAATTTTAGTCTTAGATTTAATGTGATTCGTTTTTTCTTCACATGTGGACCCCATGTCATTCTCCTATCGAACGTAAGGCCTAGGTATTGTACTCTGTCTGTTTGTGGAATCGGTATGTTGTCTAAGTATACAGGAGGGCATGTTTCTGGTCTTAGAGTAAATGTGATGTGCTGTGACTTTTGATAATTTATTTTAGTTTTCCAAAGTTTACACCAATCGAGTATAATTTGTAAGTGATGTTGTAAGTTAAGTGATGCCTCTGTAGGATTGTCGTGCCTGGTAATGATAGCAGTGTCGTCTGCGTAGGTTGCTGTAAGAGTGTGGATACTTTGAGGAATGTCGTGTGTGTATGTGATGTACAGTAGTGGGGCTAGGATTGATCCCTGAGGTACACCAGCTAAAACTGATCGAATTGAGGATAGACCTTGGCCATGTCGAACGGAGAAAAATCTATCTGAGAGAAAGGAATGGAGAATTAAGTAGTAAGTATGTGGAAGTATGGTCTTGAGCTTGAAGAGAAGCCCCTGGTGCCATACTTTGTCGAACGCTTGGGCGACATCCAGAAATACTCCGGTTGCATATAATTTCCGCTCTAGTGCTGTAGAGATGTAGTCAGTCACCCTGTGCAATTGTTGTGTTGTTGAATGTAATTTTCGAAACCCGAATTGATGGTCAGGAATAATCTGTCTGTCTGTTAGTATATGTAATAGTCGTGGGTACAATAGTTTTTCGAATAACTTAGAACATACTGGAAGTAAACTAATCAGTCGATATGAAGAAGGGTTGTTAGTGTCTTTGTTTGGCTTTTTAATCATGGTTATGTGTGAGTATTTCCATTGTATAGGAAATTTAGTGGTCCTGAGAATGCAATTGAAGATTGTGGTAAGAAACACTAGAGCTTTCCTTGGCATTTGCTGGAGCGCCTCAGCAGTTATCAAGTCATGACCAGGGGTTTTTCTTTTGGGCAATTGTCTAATTTCTTGTGCAACTTGTGATGGTGTGAAAGGAGGTGGTGGGAGTGTGAGCTGTAGCGGTATGTCTAAGTTATTATGTACAAAAATATCGTGTTCTGTATTAATTAAGTCTGTATGTGGTTTAAAAATAGTGGAAAGATGGTTAGCAAAGAGTTCAGATCTTTCCTCATCCGAAACAGCCCAAGAGCCATCCTCTCTTCGTAGGGGTGCTGACACCTCACGATGCTTTAAAAGATTCCTTGTATGTCTCCATAAACTTCCATCGTCCGTCGAAAGGTTGTTAATAAAATTGTCGTAGTTTGTGCTTTTGAATTTTTGAATATGTCTTTTAAGTTCGTTGTTCAATCTGTTAAAAGTTTGTCGGTCTGAAGGAAGTCTGTTAGTCTGCCATACTTTACGTGCTCTTCTCTTTGCTCTAATCAAGTCCCTTATGTACATTGGATAATGGGGCAAGTTCACTGCTTTTTGTGGCCTGGATGTTGATGAGGCCCATGCTGCATCTTGTATGCTTTTTGTGAATTTTTCAACAGCTTCTTCTAATTCCTCATGATTTTTAATTGAACCTGGAACGGAAAGATTGGTGTTCAAATAGTCTCTATATGCGTCCCAGTCCATGCAGCCTTTTATGAGCCTAGGTCTTTTTTGTTCCTCGGAAGGCGCGTCGAAGAGAACCATGTGCACTGAGGAGTGATCAGAACAAAGATCAGAGCTTGTATTGACGGAAAATGGTACGGTTCTTAGTCCTTTTGTAATAAAGAAATCAAGTAAGTCGGGAGTTTTGCGTCTGGAGGTGGGCCAATAAGTTGATGACATATATAATGACATATATAAAACTAGTAAAAATTGGATTTATACAGCACATTTATTTATGGTTGATCATATTATGTAAATTTTTTAGTTGGTTTAGTATTCGTTATGATAATAAATGACCTTTCAAAAAAAAGATAATCAATTTTTTTGTCTATCACTTGAAAATTAACTAATAATTTTATTCATATTTATATTATTCTTATTACAGCCAATTTTTATATTTCCTGAGTCAATAACCAGTTATAGGCATGCAAAAAATAATTGATTTATTCTTCTGCATGATTTAAAAAATATTATTTTACTGCATGAAATATAAACTTTTCACAAATATATGAATATTTCTAATCCATTTTATTAATAAATAAAGATTTATTATTGACTTATTGTTATTACTATCAAAGTAGAGTTTGTGTTATTTTGATGGTCTTAATGAGTTTTTTCATTGAAAAATATGATCAAAAGTTACAAATGTTTTTGTAATTTTTACTCCATTGAAAATGCACATATTTTTGTAATAGCACAATTTTGCCAGAGAATAATTCCTGTAAAGTAGTGTGAATGTGTGCACCAGATTTTTCTAATTAAAGCAATTTTGTTGTATCATTTTTATTGCATTGCATCATCATTTTTAATCTTCCGACTATGTTTATAGTCTTTTCATATCAAGAAAAAATGTCAAAATGTTTTTAAAAAATTATAAATCATTAGTTTAAGTATTAATTTATTTAATTAAGCCTATTAATATATAAAATTGAACATATAAGAGTTAAATAGTTGTATCAGATCCTCTTATTGTGACAGATTAAGTGACGTGGATGCGTATAAAACAAGGTTAAATTAGAAATCTGAACTTGCTGTGGTCTGGTCCGTGGCTTTTCTCCTTGTTCTCTGGCTTGAAACTTTTACTCCAATTTAGCTGAAATAATTTTTACAATTGTTCATACTTTGGTAGAACTACATTGTGATCAACCATATCAATGCCTGTGTGTTATTTTCTCTATCATTAATTAAAAAACTAATTATCTATTTTATTCATCCTAGATCGTCGCTGGTGGCATAGCAGCAGCCAGTGGTAAATTGCGTATGGGTGATAGGTTGCTGGAGGTAAACGGAGAAGACCTGACTAAGTGTCGGCATGATGAAGCTGTGATGTCCCTCCTCAAGCCGTCTGAACAGATTAAACTGCTTATTCAGCATGACCCTCTCCCAGAGGGTTTCCAGGTCAGTATATTTTGGTAAAAATTTCATTAATTTATAAGTGAACAGAATAAATATGAAGATATTCTTAGAAGGAAGCTTTGAAGCTGGAAACACTATAGTCCATGGTACAGACCCCTTTTTATCAAATTATTAACATCCGTCTAAAACTTCATGAATAGTTTCATCTTATGTTAACTTATAACTTGTTTATTTATGAAAATTCTTGGAAATGGGTTGTTTTAAATCTGAAGATCGGTAAACTTTGTCTATTTAATGAGATACTAAAAAATCATTAACATCCATTTGAAATTGAGGTAAAAAAAGGTAGTATATTTTTAAAACTGTTTTTTCTCAATTTTGTGATTAAATTATCTTATGATTCAAGTGGAAAGCAAATGAATATTCACTAGTTTTTAGTGGTTCGTTAAATTAATTAATTTAATGAAAAAATGCCCCATTTCAGAGAATTTTCACAGATAAATAGTTGCAGGTAATTAAAAAATAAAGCCAGTTACTAAGTTTTAGCGGGGGATGTTTATAATTTGATAAAAAAAAAAAAGGTCTGTACCCCAGACTAAGTTGGTCAAGAAACCATACTTTCTTTCTTATTGAATGTTGAATACACAATTATTTTTTGAATGCTAATTGATCCATGTTATTTAGTGTTGCAGGATTTTAGTTTTTCTCTGTTGAATAAATAATACAGTAATTTATATTTTATTACCTTTAGTAAATTGCTTTTGTTTTATATTTTTAATTTTTATTATTTTACAGGTCCTATCAATAATTCGGGAAGAGGGTGAAAAATTAGGTATGCACATTAAAGGTGGTTTGAGAGGTCATAGAGGAAATCCTTTGGACAAGTCTGACGAGGGAGTATTTATATCTAAGATCAACTCTGGAGGGGCTGCGAAGAGAGATGGCAGGCTCAGGGTATATAATCTGTTTGCACTTGTTTCTTAGCACTCTGTACCTAGTGTTTTATCGACAAGATTTTTTAAAAAAATTTCTCTTTGTAGGTTGGGATGAGATTGCTGGAAGTAAATGGCGTCTCACTTCTTGGTAAAACTCACCAAGATGCTGTTAATACTTTGAGAACTGCTGGCATGAGGATCAATCTTATTGTTTGTAAAGGTAATTGTTCAATTATTATGCTAACTAGTAATCAATGGTACTGTAGCGGTCCAAAGCTTGCAAAACTTTGAATCAAATTAGTTATTTTATTTGTCAAAGAAAATGATCATTTTTTAAAAAAGTATTTTAGAGATATTGACTAAATATCAATATAAATATACATTAACATTTGTTTATAATGATTAATTATACCACTTAACAGTTTATTGAACAGCCTGTTATGAAATATTATACTGGGTTCAATTTGTCCACGTTTATCTATTTTTAATATATGCCATCCCTTGATTGAACAATGAATGTCTTCAAGTGCTTCTTTCTTGGTTCAATAAATTTGCTACAGTGAATAAAAAAATAAGGCATTGGTTCTGCCATAAAGCAGTAACATGCTCTACACACTTCTTTAGATTTAATAGTGAAGGCAGCATATATTATGCATTTCTTTATGATGTCATCGCTTTAAACTCCTCGAGGTAACTGATGGTTCCTAATGTGTTTCAATTTAGTGGTGGCTATCAATTAACCAATTTAAAGGAAATTTAAACATAATTATTTGTCTTTTTTTTTTTTTTTTTTTGTGCCTTATCTTTAAATTTTCTAATATTTATGTTAGCCCTTATTTATTTATTTTTTTAAATATCTCTTTCTTCAAGATTTAGGTTAATTGTAATTTATTGTTATGTTAGCTTATGTATTGTTGTCATTAGTTGATTGTAATGTAGATGTTAATTTTCAATGTTGCATTTTAATTTTTTTTTTTGTGATAACATTTTTATTCAGAAGCCTTGCATAAGGTTTGATAGGATTTCGATGTATTTTAAATTTAACAAAATATAGTATTTTTGCACGTTCTCAAGTGTAAATTAGGCACATATTTTGGGTTCTTACTGCAGGTTTTTCGGATTTTTACTGCACGAAGATCTCTACTGATGACTAATAGGCTTATTAGCCCATTTTGCCAATCCTTAATAAATACTTTGATGTTGATACTTAACCCTTCCTTATCAAAGTAGGGATGTCCAGATTCATTTAGCGGCACCACCAAAACAGAAATATTAACTAATACAGGTACTTTTCCCTGTTTTTTGATAACTGAATTTGTTCCTTCTGTCATGATTTATTACTAACTAAGTTATTGATGCTACTGAAATAAATTTGATTACTTTTAACTAACAAATATCTGTTTTTCAAAGTAAGTAAAAAGCTGTAAGTTAAAAGTAAATTCCTATAAGTTAAAAAATTGGTTCTACAAAAATTTTGCAGAAATACGATTAAAAAAGTTACATAGAATATATCATTGTCTTAGTTTTTCAAAAAAAAAAATTGAACAGAAAATATTAGGTTGACCCATAAATTCTTTCCTTTTTCTTTATTTTATGTTTAAAGTTGATTTACTGTATTATATTTGAACCGTTCTGCTCTATTACCTTCTTCTATCTCTCAGGAAGCCTCTTATACCCTTTTTCCAAAATTGTTGAGATTTACTTGCAAAATATTCATCGAGATGCGTTTTTATTTCACTCTTTGATTTGTGAAATTTATCATGGAGAGAATTTTTTAAGAAAAGAAACGAGTAACAATTGGATGGGGCAAGATCTGGGGAGTACAGAGGATGATGTAGAAACTCCCAATCAAACTATGAGAGTTTCTGTCTTATGTGCTACCAAACATGCCTTATTGACCTTTTCAATATTATTTTTTTTAAAGTTTCATTATTTAGTAATAACTAACTTATCTCAATCTGATAATATTAAGCAATCACTATCATTGATTTAATGTTTTCATATGCAGGATATGACAAAGCAGAAGTTGAGAGATTGATGTCTGAAGGCATTTTATCTAAAGAGACTAAGTCTGCTTCTCACAGTGTATCGAGCTTAGATAGGGAAGAAGAAAATTCTGATTCATTACGCCAGGTTAGCAAAGTTTCTTATAATAAGAAGAAATGATTTTTAATGTGTTTTTTATTTTTTAATTAGGTATATACATATTAAATTATTGCGTACCTGTTCTGAAAGATCCTATATTTACTTTTTAGGAAGAAGAAATGAGAGATGTTTTTGAACCAGAAAAGGAAGAAATCAAGAAACCTGTAGCGAAAGAAGTAACATCAACAGAATTGGTGCCACAAACGCAATCGTCTGATCTACAAGTCGAAGAACACAAGAGTAAATCTACTCCTGAGAAAGTGAGCTTCAGTTTCTTTATGTGTTATTTTTTATTCTTATAGTTTATCTCCTCTAAAATTTATAAATATATGAAAATAATTATTGAATTAATTCATGTTAAAGGGTGTGTAATAATGAGTTTTTTTAAAATATAATTTAATTATTAAGGTTCATATAACTTTTGAGCTCTAATATTAAATTGATTTATTAAAGGTGATGGATGTTGTACGCGCTGCTGAAATTTTGGCTCTGAATGATACTCCAGCCTCTCCAACAGCCAAACCAAAGTCTCCCAAACCTGAGAGTGTCAAAACTACGACAATTGTCATGAGTAAACACACTCTTGCCCCTCAGCCCACCGATCAGGTACGTCACCTTTGCTTGCACTTTATTTTTAATAATTTAATTGGAAAGTCATTGCTTCTCGTTTAATTTTTTTTTTAATTTCTATTTATTCTAAATGTAAACTTCACTCAAATTTAAATATGAATTAAATTAGCTTCACTTAAATTCTTGATGTGTTTTGTTACACAGTTGCTGAAAGGACTGTTTACATGATTTAATTTTAATATTACGTTATAGAAATCATGTTTAGTTTTTCTCTTACAGTAGAAATTAATATTTTGACTTGAACATTTTTTTTTTATTCCTTTTCGACATTTTATTATTTTTTATCATTGTTACCACTAGTTTTTCTTTATTTGAAAAGAATAAATGAGTAAGAATTAAATACTTACGTATTTAAGAATCATCTTTTTGTTTCATTTTACTGCATTGATTTTTATAACTTTTACACTCTTCAATATAAAGAAAGTTAATGTTCACAAAAACACTGGTCTGGTAAAGACCTCTTATGTCCCTTTATTTCTAATATATTATTTACCTTTTAAAATTCATTTTTGTATCTCTAATCCAATAAATAGAACAAATAAAATCCAAATGAATTCTGTTGAACTAATATTTCAATTGTTTACTGCCTAATATTCCCACTTTCATTACTATAAATTATCTGACTTATAGTAATTGTAAAAATGTAATTTCACTGCCAATTTAAATTTAAATGCAACTTTTATGGATATTACTGGTTAAATCATATGTGAAAACAATTAATTTTTCATTGTGAAACCAATATTCCTATTTTTTTTATTGACTTTTTTTAGCTATTTATTTTTATTTTTCGCTATTTATATTAATTGATAAGCTCAAAGTAAAACTACTTTTTATATCAACATTTTATAAACAGTCATTTAGATATCAGAATTTACCTACTGCGCTGGTTAACTTTCGTTTCATACATTCTCTCCTTCGTCCGTCAAAATGATTGTGATGTATGAAATATGAGAATAAATCATGTAAACATGATCCGTTGTAAATTATGCTTTTGTCCTTGCTAATTTTTTTTTTTAATAATGATTTTTTTATTCTAAATGAACTTATATTTAACAAAAAATAGAAAATATCACTTCTTTATTATGAGTATTAACTGTATAATACTTTCTATTGTCAATTTTAATTTAATACCATAGAAAGTTACTAAAGTGTACATTAATTATTTTACCATATCCTTTTTCATTATTGTTTTGTTTAATTTATTTTGTTATCCTTATTTTGTTAAGAACACTATACTCAGCTTTCCTTTATAAATATTCCGACGCCTATGGAATAAAGTACTGTATTATGGAAATGCTTCATATCCTGTGATATGTGATACGTGTCTATTTGGGTTAATGTTGGGTTCTCCGCTTTATTCCCTGTGTTTTGTTCTGTTTTTTTTGTTTTGTTTTTTGTTGCTTTGTTGTTGGGCATGTGTCAGACCTTCCTGTTTTAAAGACTGATGAAACCCCATGTTTTGCTTGACCATTTCATTACTCAATTTTATTTTATATATACCTGCCATTCTAAATATAGATAATGTATGTACATTAAGTGTTTTTCATTATTTTTATTTTTATATTTAAGTTCATTTTTGTTTTATTTTTTCTAGTTTTTAATTATCATTATAAACTTATTTTACTACTGTTTTACTGATTAGAGAATGTATTGATAATTGTCTAATGGTAGATGTTTTTGACCCTTTAGTTTTTATTTTAAAAAAAGATTTTTTTTTTATTGTTTGTTATCTTAGTTGGTTTGCTGAACGAGACCTTGTTCTTAATGTCTCTTTCAATCAATGACATGAAATCTTGTTATTTATCATATAGTCATTACTAGCTTGTAAAGTCATGTTAGAGTATTTTTAATAATAAGTAATTTAGCTTCTGTAATGCTTTTTTAAATTATTTATTTTTCATATTATGTTCATGTGTAAAAAATTAAATGTTTTAAGAAGTTTTCACTAGTTATGTTGTTAAAAGAAGGACCTTTCATTAAATATTTATTTATTCATTAAACTTTCACAATATGCAGAAATTTGACTGATTAATTTATTTTTCTTTACAAAGTTTGAAAGAATTGTGTATAGTTTCACCAAGTCTATTTTACTGATCGCTTATTGCACCTTATTATAAAAATTAAAAAATTTATATAAACTTGCTATTATGATGGAGAAGATTATAATAGAAGAAGAAAGCTTTGTTGGCGAATAGAGAAGATTAAACACCCTAAATTAACAATAATTTTAACTGATTTAAAATACACCATGTTGCTTATAACATATTCATTCATATAACATTTTATATTCACGTAATAAAAGACTTTCATTCCAAGGGCAGTACAGCCCGATGTGGATCCTGGCCTACTCGATGAACCTTCGCCAGGTGGCTCGATCCTGTGCAACCGCTCTCCAATTCCGTACTCCCGAAAGGGTCTGAGCATCCTTGAATTAATAAAAGACTTGACAAATCCAAATGTTTAAAGCTGATTCCACCTATACACCTCTATTTATTAAACCAGGGTGTCTACTTGAATCTTTTTATGGATTCCTGAGTGTTTTCCGAATCTGATAGACACTTTTAATCCTTGTCAAAACTTAAATCTGCAAGATCAGTCTCAATATAATCTTTTCCCGCTTTCGTCCACCTGTTATGTATTTATTAATCAGCTATCTAAGTTCTTATTGTCTTTTTAAAGATTTGTTTCTTATCATTATCATTATTAGTTATTGATTAACTATTATCATTGTATATTTGACTAAATTGAAGTCACCTTTTTAGTGGTGAAGTATTTTTCTAGTCCCAAAAATTTCTAATAAAATATTAGAATTTTTATGAACGAGATAATGTCGTGTTGTTCGATATTACAAAACACACCATTTGAGTGTATTTTATTTTGTTCACAATATTGATACAAACACAATTCACTCAAATTACTTTATATTTTATATTATTAACTTAATATTTGAACTCCCATTATTTATGTAGCTATTGATATGATGTTAAATTAATTTTCATTTTATTAATATTTCTAATGAAAACTTCTTAATCAGATTTAGTTTAATCGATTGTTAACTGGAGTATCCGATGGACCAGATAATTTTTCAATTTTAGTTAAACTTATTTTTGGTATAATTTTTATAATTTAAAAAATAAAAAGTCATTGACTTAATGAATATACAATTTTTTATATAACTAACCTATCCAACATTTTTATTACAAAGTCTAAGTTATATTGCATGCAATTGAATGATATTTTGAAAAAATTTCAATGCATTAATGTTTTATTTTTATTTTCAAATTTTATAAAAGTGAATAATTATTTGCAATATTCCATCTTTGATTTGGTTACCCTTGTCTCTTTCAAGAGTTTTAAAAGTTAGTTGTTTTTTTGTAATTGTTCAGTCATTTGATGCACCATTACAATAAGCTGTTATTATAATAATATAAAAAAAAAGTTTTTTATATTTCACGTAATTTTTTATAATGTTCTTATTATCAAAATCACAAGTTCTTGGAATTAAAAATGAATGCATGAGAATTTTTTTTTATCGTTAAGTAGATTAAAGTAGCTCAAAATTATTGTATATAGGTCTTCTTGAAAACTACTGTAAAATCATTGTGAGAATGTTAAATTTAAAAAATATTTTGAAGTCGGTAGTATTACAAAATTACTCTAAAAGGTTGGGATTAATCAACCGCTTTTTTCTCTTCTTTTTTTTGTTTGAACAACAAAATATGTGGATATATAATTTTTAACTTTTGGTGTAACATTTTGCTCAACTAAAATTTTATCTTTGGATAGGTAATTTATTAATATTTTTATTTGATACTGTATTTATCATAAAATGTTAATCTCAAATTGGATCTTTTTTCCCCCTTATCATTTTAAAAATTGGTTTGGGTATATTGCAAATAAACATCACGATTGTGAATGATAAACCTTGAATAAGTTTTTAAAAAATTGTATAGCAGTTATTTTATATTTTTATTTTTGTACATTTATCCTGAAAAGCGAATGTGAATCATGCCCCGCATGGATGCGCCAAGAATATTTCTGAATTCATTATTATTTTTTATTTTATTTTTTTACCATTATTTTATTGTAACCTTGGCATGTGATACCAATACAAACCTATTTATAAATAGTTGCCTCTATATATTGTTATATATTATATAATTTATAACAGTTTCTTTACAATATCTGTATACTGTATTACATCAAATATAAGTCAGCCGAATTTAAGTACAACCAATTTTCTAAATGGCTAATTTAAAATCAATAGATAATAATCAAATGTATGAAGTTATTTATTTTATATGATTTTTATGTCTTATGTTCGGTGTAATTTACAGTTTGTAGTAATATCGTAAAAAATCATAACCATAAGCAGAGCTTGTTATTTCTCTCTGTAAGATCCATCTTATCGATTTATTGTGTTCTCTTCCAAAAATTGCATTATTTTCATATGTTTAAAGGTGTTGTAATTTCAAAGAAATTAGTACTATACAAATGTTCCAATAAATTAAACACCAAGCTCTGATTATTAAATTATTTTTCTGCTATGAACTATATTTTATAATATGAACTAGTTCGTTAATATTTTATAAATATTTAGATCTGTTTTGACTTTGACGAGAATCGTAATTTCCAGAAAAAGAGGGCCAATCAGCAATAGCAGAGAAGCTTAAGTTAAACCATCCATCACTTCGTATTATCTCAGCCTTCATGATTTATATTAAATTACCTTAATCTGTTTTCTTTTTTTCCTTTTTTCATGGTACATATTTAAAAGGCTGTGTGATGTAGAATGTAATTTTTGTATGAACTGTTACCATAAAATAGTGGTAAAGTGTGTATAATAGTTTTCTAATATACTTTTAAGTAGTTATAAATTGTTTGTTCAAATTTATTTTATATCTTGTAAATTTCAGTTATACTTTAAGTTATTCTTGTGTGTTTCCTTTTTTTCTAATCTTGTTTCTGTATCACAT